GCCTGAACCCGCACCCCGTGACAGATCGATCGACCTCCAAAAATGGATTTAGCAGCTGTACAACTTCTCCTCCTGGAACATGAGGATCAATCCCTCGAGGCCCACACACAGAGGTATTTGGACTTGGTACCTCACGTTCACTATGATGACACAAGCCTCTGTGTGTTCTTCCGGGCAGGCCTAAACGCTGAAACCCAGGCACGCCTGCCCGGAGACGGGCCTCGAGGGGACTTTGTGGCCTATGTGGAGTGGGTGCTGGTGTCATGTGGATCTCCCTTTACCATGTATGACGTCACCAGCCCCACTCCATTGCTCGAGTGCTCTTCACCGCTGGTTCCGTCCAGCTCTCCAGAGATTGAATGCTCTTCACCGCTGGTTCCGTCCAGCTCTCCAGAGATTGAATGCTCTTCACCGCTGGTTCCGTCCAGCTCTCCAGAGTCTGAATGCTCTTCGCCGCTGGTCCCGTCCAGCGCTCCAGAGATTGAATGCTCTTCACCGCTGGTTCCGTCCAGCTCTCCAGAGTCTGAATGCTCTTCGCCGCTGGTCCCGTCCAGCGCTCCAGAGATTGAATGCTCTTCACCGCTGGTTCCGTCCAGCTCTCCAGAGATTGAATGCTCTTCACCGCTGGTTCCGTCCAGCTCTCCAGAGATTGAATGCTCTTCGCCGCTGGTTCCGTCCAGCTCTCCAGAGATTGAATGCTCTTCCCCGCTGGTTCCGTCCAGCTCTCCAGAGACTGTATGCTCTTCACTGCTGGTTCCGTCCAGCTCTCCAGAGACTGTATGCTCTTCACTGCTGGTTCCGTCCAGCTCTCCAGAGACTGTATGCTCTTCACTGCTGGTTCCGTCCAGCCCTCCAGAGACTGTATGCTCTTCACAGCTGGTTCCGTCCAGCCCTCCAGAGACTGTATGCTCTTCACTGCTGGTTCCGTCCAGCCCTCCAGAGACTGTATGCTCTTCACAGCTGGTTCCGTCCAGCCCTCCAGAGACTGTATGCTCTTCACTGCTGGTTCCGTCCAGCGCGCCAGAGACCGTCCAGCCAGCGCCAGAGACCGTCCAGCCAGCGCCAGAGACCGTCCGGCCAGCGCCAGAGACCGTCCAGCCAGCGCCAGAGACCGTCCAGCCAGCGCCAGGGACCGTCCAGCCAGCGCCAGAGACCGGGATCCCACCCTGCCTCCCTCTCCCGCCTCCTCTCATCTGTCCTCGCTCTGCTCTCCTGCCCTTCAGCTCCCCTAAACCAGCCTGGTCCTTGGATCCCCGGTCTTCGCCTCACACCTCCTCCTCAGAGACACTTCCTCGGCCCTCTGTCCCATCAGCTCCCCCGTGGCTCCTACCTCCCTCAGCTCCTCCATGGCCCCTCAGTCCACCAGCTCGACCAGGCTCCCTCGACCCTCCGGACTCCCTTCGTTCCCTTGTCATCCTCCTTCACCTTTGGACTTCCTTCCCTTGGCTCCGCCCCGTCATGTCACCCCCCCGGTTCTGTCGGACTCCTCACTCCCTCCAGTCACCCGTCAGCCCTCACTCCCTCTGGCCTCACCGTGTCCCTCTGTGCCCCTGTCGTCACTTCTGTCACCTGTACCTACGGTGTCACCATGGTCCCTCGGTCCCTCCTCAGCACCCAAAGTCGTCTGTCCCTCTGCTTCACCCTGGTCCCCTCTCCCATCTGCTCCGCCCCTGTCAGTCGGCCCCCTGGTGTTGTCAGCCCCGCTTCCATCGGCTCCACCAGGGGTCCTCCCTCCATCTGCTCCGCCCTGGTCTCGCCCTCCATCTGCTCCGCCCTGGTCTCGCCCTCCATCTGCTCCGCCTTGGTCTCGCCCTCAGCCTGCTCCGCCCTGGTCTCGCCCTCAGCCTGCTCCGCCCTGGCCACGCCCTCAGCCTGCTCCGCCCTGGCCACACCCCTCTCAGCCCCCAGTTCGTCCCCCCTCCTTCCTCTGTTCTGCGGCGTGAGGTCACGCCTCCCGGGAGGGGGGAGTTCTGTCACAGTCTTCGTCTGCACCATCCTGTCTTGTCTTCAGCACTACACTTCCCAGGATCCTCTCGTCACCCTATCCCGTGTTCACTCCATCATCAGCCACCTGTTCCTCGTCATCGTCATCTGTTTCACCTGTCTTCACCTCATTATGTTTGATTCTTCTGTGTATTTAGTTCCCTCAGTTTCCTTCAGTCTTTGTCGATCGATGTTAATGTTACGCTGTGTTCTGCCTGCCTGTCTTCAGTTTAATTGTGATTAAACCCTTATATTGGAGCTTTCTGGACTCTGCCTGTTCGTCCTTCTGCCTGAACCCGCACCCCGTGACAATAATGACATAACTTACCCCCACACTTCTCTGTCTTTTACGGCCATGACAAGAACGTCGGTCTCCTCGGCTGTGAACGCTCCTGGTGCGCACTTATTATCATATTATTATTATCATAATAATAACAATCCATCATATTTCGTTTCGACATCCTGCTGCATTAGTCCCAGATAGGTGACAAATGAAGGCAAGACTCGGAAGGTAAAGTGATTTTGTTCCCTGTAAATCATTTTTTAATTCAGAATATGATCAACATTGCGTAGGTGGATGTGATCGGGAAATTTTGGCTGTTAAAATTATAACATTTAAAGCCACTTAAATTAACGAAATGACTCGAATGACTCAGAGAGTCAGTAAAATGAACTTCCTATTAACCAGTCATGACTCGCGAGAGCAGGGGCTCGCGCTCGCGGGGCGGCGGAAGCTAAGTCAGTCATTACTCGTGAGAGCAGGGCGCGCCGACGCTGCGGGGCGGCCGCAGCTCAGTAATTCATATAAATAACCTAGTTTGTGAATTGTTCATCCCCGGTTGGCACACATTTTGCAGCCCTTACAAAAGCGCCTCTCCCTGTTTACAGTGGAAGTTCGATAGTAGATTCGAGTTCGATGCATAATGTCTGTGGTTTGATCGGCTGTCTCGGCGCATAACATCCGTCATAAATAAACTTATCTGATTGTCTTACGGGTAACCAATGATTTTAAACTTCAGACAAGCGCCCCCTTGCGAGAGAGAAAACACTTCTCTATTATGCCATTCCAGACTCTGTCTATGAAGCAAAGTGAAGTAGCAGAGTCTGGTATTACCAGGCTATCGTTTCCCTGTACATGCTCCACTTGTTCTGTTTAGCCTGGCAGGACATGTGTCAGGTGAGAAAATAGCTGTTTGAGAAATATAACTTACCATTGATGTACAAGTGATTGCAATAGGCCTGTGTGTGTGAGAGAAATATCTATATAGCCTACTGCAAGGCTGTATTTATTTTATTTTTATTTGTTTATATGTTATTTTATTGCCATTACCTGTACCTTCACACATAAGTTTAGTTTGCTAAATATATCTTTTATACAGCCATTACCAGAACCCAGTGATTATAGTTTATAAAGTTATAAATATGGATATTTATCTTAAAAATGCACCGCTTCGCTTCAAAAGGTTTAAGCGGCCCCGGAAAACCAAAAAGCCCCCCGGAGCCGGATGGATTACTTTTATGATAGATGGATGCGCTTATTTTGGGCTTCAAAAACTCTACTCTACTCACTCCCATTAAAAGCTTGGAAGAGCCAAGGTATTTTTTTAATATAACTCTGATTATGTTTGCCTGAAAGAACAAAGTCATATACACCTATGGCTTGAGGGTGAGTAAATTATGGGGTAATTTAAACTTTTGGGTCAACTATCCCTTTAAGAGCAGTATCACCGATTATAATGGGTTTCCTTTGATTTTGTTGCGTTGCGTCCCACTGCTCGTGTCCGGTGTCAACATGGTGTAAGACTTAAACGGTATAAGATAGTTGATCTGCTTTCCCAAGCTACCTAAGCTGGTATTCAGTTGGTACATAGCTGGTCTCCCAGCCTGAAATGATAAAAATGGGTTAAATTGTAAGACAACTGAAAACCAGTGGTTGGACACACACACACACACGCACACACACACACACAAAAAAAAAACAGTTTAGGGCTGCTGTTAGCAACTAGCTATTTCAATTCATATTTTAGCTAAACTGTGGTAATACCAATCCCAAAATATTTTTTTTTCAATTCTTTGGTTGATTAAAACTGATATTTCAGCTAAGGATATTATAATTTGCATTGAAGAAGCAGATGAATGTTTGAACCTGGTTTTCTTAAAGTCAGAGAGCTAAAGGAAAGACACAGTGGTAAAAATGAGATGAGACCCCTCTGTTATGATATATGAGTGAACTGGCCCAGTTCAAAGCTGGGTGTGTGCTGGGTATCGAATTCCATTATATATGCTTTTAAGTTGAACACCCAAAAGAGACATGAATAAAACAATGGAACGACTGGATAATCTTTAATTTGAAGACATGCACATTTCTGTGTGGGAATTTCTTATCCAAAATTATTAATGCCAGGTTTTTGTTCACTGTGAGAAAACTCTTCATGTCATACTCACTTAGTACAATCGGCCAACTCCACTTCCTGTGAGCGTATTTCTTCTTTAAATTGAATTCAACTCAGGGCCTCTGAACTATAGTTGAAGCCCCTATCAAAGCGATTCCATCTGCTGGCTTTTATTCTCCTTCATGGTTTTGATTCTGGGATTTGTACAAAAAAAACACCATTTCTGCCATTCCTTTATGATGTTTCTCATTTTCTGCATCTGCAATTCACTGCCTCATATTGGCACTTTTGAAATTCAAGAGCAAAACCGATCATGACTGAATGACTCAAGAAAAGAGTTTAAAACAACTATTGAGGTAAGTTATTCCAACGATGACTAACAGGACTAGGAAAATGTTAAGATCTGAATGGCTGATATGGGCCAAACAAATCAGGAAAGTGAATCATCTTGCGAACGGGGCCTAAACAAAGCTCTACTTACCTCTTATTCTCAGCGCTACACAACGGATTCTGCAGCCTATAGACATGACGAGAGAAAGGAGGGGCAGAGAGGGAGGGAAAGGGGAGGCACTAGGACCTGTTGGCTCCTGCAGTGGAGGTCAGGGGAGTAGCTATGGGACTCCAACTTTCAGAACAATCAATTTCCCTTAAGAGAGAGTGGGAGAAGGGCTGGAGTGGATGTCACAGGACCTGGATACTCGCATTTTGAAATGTTGAAGATCGGGCTTTGGGGATAAACCTGTGAAGAGTGTGAGATCTGGAATACAACTAACTTGGGGTTTTGAATTCTCACAAACTTGAGAGGAGAACAGCTGTGAGGTAAGCAGCACTGGGTGCTGATGTCTGATATTATGAGTATTGTGGAATGCTTGTGAATGGACTTGCTACCTGTCAACAAGCAAAGGGGAAGCTTTTAATCTGAAATGAGCCCGTATCCTATGACAGGAAGACTCAAGGTGCTGTTGACAAGAAAAGCTGTGCATGCATTGAAAAGAAATAACTTGAGTGATATACTAGATGGTATCTAGAGGGGAGAGGACCAGCAAAAGTTGGAGGATTTATTAAAAAAAATAAAAAAAAATAAAAAAAGAGAAGAGAAAAAGGAAACCCCAAGCTGTTTCTGAATGAAGTCCAAACCAAACTATGTGGTTTGGAAAAGAATAGCATGTGGTTTTATGAAACCTTGAGTGTTTTGGGATGTGAAATGACATGTATTTGAAGCATGAAGAGATGAACAAGGAGGTCTGATAGGTGATGGGGACCTCTAGACTTTGGAGAAGTATTATTTTAGAAACTAGAAAACCCTAAAACATAAAACCTCTCACTTCTTTTTTATCTGTTTCTTTCCATCTATCCGTCATGCCACTCATGTTACAAAACCAGAGGGTCTCGCTGTCGTTGCCTCATTCCTCTCTGAGACATGGAACATGTTATAGATTATCATTTTCATCTGGGCAGGAGCTGTGGTTAGCATGTCAGCCGGCTTAAAGACCGAAGTTGAAGTCTGAATACGTGAACAGCAGGGAGAAATCAACAGACATGCTTCCAAGGCAGAGGGATTTTATGAATATTTTGGCAAAATGATGTAATAGAAGTTGGAACATACAAATACGACGTCTCTCTTTAATACAAAAGGAGCTGAAAACCGTACCGTCCAGAACAGGTTGGGCAATTCAGTCAACATCTGTAAAAGATAAAGTCCCGCTTGAAGTCTGCATAAGAAAATATAATGATAGGTGTGATTATGTACTGCATATAATGTATCTCTTGATATCATCCCAGAACTGCTTGCCTTGGTGTCTTGGTCCAAATGCAAGCTGACGGCCCTCTTGAAATTGGCTTGGATAAAACCCAAAGTTTACTTGACACTGAGTGAGTGAAGCCTTTCAAATTCCCAGATGCTCTCTTGTCCCGAGGCAGATGGACAGTGCTATTTTCCTTCCATACAATGATGTTGGCTATTATTATTCATGAGCAGGGTCAGGTTTCCCATTGAGCCTGAATTAAAGGTTTCTCTCTGTAGATCTGTGCTCACGTAGCGTAGCGTGCCGCTGTGGTAATGAGAGGTAATGAGGGCTTCTAATGAGGCAGGTGGGCCAATGCCAGCAACTCCCCTGGGTGTTTAAGTTACCCAGACCGACGACTTGAGCCTATAGTTTAGTCCCGGCATTGGCCGTGTGTATAACCCATTGGCCTGATAAGACCACACCGACCATCTGGCCAAACAAAATAGATGAGGAATCTATTTCTACTTACCCAACATTCCATGTTCACACACAAAATACTTTTGCAGACCAATAGCTGTGCTCAGCCTAAAAACCTGGCGTCCTCTTTGACTCTCCCTGGCTCACGGCTGATATGATCTGGAATATATAGAATCATCTGACGGATTTCAGAGTTTGGACAGCCCTAGAACTCTTGTGTGTACTTGCCAAGACAGTTTTATGAGTTTTTTAGAGCTTGCTTTGGAGCGCTTCTGTTTAGGATAAGCAGTGTTTGTTTGTGCAGAGAAGGCCGACCTCCGACAGAGAGCAAAATTTAATGCCCCCTATGGCCACACAAGAGCTTGAAAATTGTTCCCATGGTGATTCACGCAACATTCGAGTAGGGAAGTGAAAGTGATAAATGAATAGAATGACTGCATAATGAGGCACGAAGCTGGAATCCATCAACGTCAGTAAAGAAGTGTTAAAAAATAATAAAAACATGTGCTTTACAAGCGTGACTGTTGGTACAGGTAAAGTCAGACGAATTCTGTAAATTAACATTAAGAGGTTTATGCATAATCATTAGTAGATCGTTGCAATGCCAGAATTCCCACATCTTTGAAAGAGCCGTTCAACCTCAATGTTTTCTCTGTTGGGGGGGTTCTAAAACTTAGTAAATCAGATCATGCAATGACATCTAAAAATCTTTGTACGAAGAAAAGGATTGTTTGCATGCCCAGACAGATGCTAGAATCTATTCATGAAATCATTCGCAAGAGGCCTGTAAACTCTCTCCAAAAATCTGTCTCTCATTTAGAACCCTGATGCGATTTCGGTCATAATGTTTATAGAATATTATTCCTCTGTTCCAAATACATCATACAGTTCTTTGCCAAGCTATGAATTGCATCCCAAGTGCTTGACTATACATACTTTACTCTTTTTTTTTTTTTTGCAGGAATTAAACAATTAAAATGTTCTGCAGCTTTGTTTCTCATACTTATATTCAAGACAAGAGCTGTTTCTTAAATTATTTCATATTTTTGATTTTCAAATGACATTGGCACTGAAAAGTTTGAAATTATAGTGAAAAGATTTCTATTTTTCTTTTTTCAATGTAAACTATATTATTAGTAATTCGTTATTTAGTAAATTCAATGAGGAGAAAATGTTGCTGCAACCCATGCTACATATTCTTCCACATATCGTTTTATTATTGAAAAGAATATCACATCACGTTGTTTTGAACATTAAAATTAAAGTTGTTCTCTTTTGTTAGGCACTTTGTTCTTCCGGTTTAAAGTTGAAGCAACGTCAAAGAAGTTGACATGTTGAGCCTGTGAATTGTGAAGCTCTACATTATGTATTACATGGAACGCAATCTGATTTTCATCCAGTTGCTGTGCTGGATTATACAGTTCTGTAAATACCACCTATTGTTTTGCAGTGGTGTAGGGTGGCATTTGATTTTCTTCTTCATTACTTTAAAAAAAAACAAGAACATACTGTATATGAATATGTAAATCTTACATTATTGTCTCTGAGTAAACTACAAAAACGCAAATTTGTTAAAACAGTGATGTCAAGCACATGTGTATTACGTGTTCAGTCTATTGGAGCGTAGTGTTTCTTTACAACGTGACATCGCCATCTACTGGCCTGGCATGGATAATACAGCGATTTTAGTAGTTTTCGCAGTTATGACGCAACGTGAATAACATTGTCGTCTTTATCTGAAAAACGACAAAGGAAAACATTTTCCGTTTTAATACATCGCTGTCATGTAAATGTAAATGTACCCTCATTCTTGGAATCCACTGTTTGTACTTCATATTTTGCAAACTGCCATTTTCTTTGTACTGTAAGTTAAAGGTTACATCTATGCCTTTCACAGATGTTCACAGATGCCTCTCCCTTTCGCTCAGCTAAAACACAAGCATGTTTCATCTAATCCTTGAGAGCTGAGGATGTGCACAAGTGACTAATGATTCATTTTCGGGTTGAAAATCTGCACTAAAATAACAATTGGGAGAAGTTTGCAGATGATATATGCCATAATTCGACATACAACAACCGCAGAGCATGATGCCCTTACCTGCACCCCGCCCACTGCATTTGTTTTTATTTCATGGACAGATGACATGTTTTGCAGTGCTTGTCTCTACACGAGATTGTCTCCAAAACATACAGTGAACTGACACACACAATCTGCAGGCTTTGAACTAGCCGCAACCACTTTCTTGTGGGCCCTGACTTTACATTACTACTTTGTCTTTTGCTACTGCAGGTGGGTGAATAGACATGTATTTTCATGTTTAAGATTAACAGATGATTCAGACAGCTGTGAGAATATTTACTGTTACCATGCAACTTAATGAATTGCTCACCAAATGCATGCATTGGTAGTTGGTGAAAAACGTCCTCATGGGAGTTTATCAACATGAGGATTTTAGGTTACATAGTATGTGAATGAAATTTGCATTTTTGTCGTTTACACAGAGACAATAATGTACGATTTACAGATGAATATACAGTATGTTCTTGTTTATTTTTTTAATTTTTTTTTTTAGCAATGATGAATAAAAACAAATGCCACCCTACACCACAGCAAAACTATAGGTGTTATTTACAGAACTCTATCAGCCAGCACAGCAACTGGCTAAAAATCATATTGCAATACATGTAATAAATAGTGTGGAGATTCACAATTCACAGACTCAACATGTCACATGTCTTCTGTGATGTTGCTTCAACTTGAGTCTTGTAACTGGTCACTATTTGCATTTTTAATAACCTTGACTTCATTTTAAACTTAGTACAAATATGTCACGGTTATTGAAATGGTCGCAAAAGCTGAATGCATATTGATAATTATATGAAAAAAAAAATATAGCAAAATGGAGTTACACCGCAGATCACGTCAACTACCCACATTCAAAGCTTTCCTGTGTTTCACACAAATTTGCAAATATGTATCTGCCTATGCTTCCTATACAAAAGCACCCATAATACTTTTCATGAAATTAGATCTTGTGGATGATTCGGTTCATTCAAATCAATGCAACAACTAACATAAAACTGCTTTTAATAGTTGTATTTGATTCATGAAATTGCAGACAATTCCAATTTTGTCAATTGTAAACTAAGGAGCGAATCCACAAAACTGTGCCACTTTTGTGCAGCAGTTATTACATTTTCAAAAGTGTTTCTTCAAATTTGGGAACTTTTATATCACAGGGGTTGGATTTGATTAAAACTAACAGATTTCAGATTTTATTTTTGTTACATTAAGTTCACTTGGCAACTATTTACAATCCCTTCATCCTTTATATTTTCAAATGTTTAGTTCATGACTTTTGGAAAATTGTGCACAAATGACAGAAATCGCCTAAAATGTCTGTTGGGCATTAAATAAAGCAGTCAGAGTGTGTTTTAGGGAGTTTATTTTCTAAATGTTCTAAATGAACTGCATTCGCCTCAGGTTGTGCGAGTTTGTTTTTGCGAGATTTTGCTCAGATTGTTTGCTCTGTTACAGTTTGCGATTCCTTTAGTCAACGTGCGCACTGGTTACGGATAGATTGCACTAGTAGATTTCTGTCTGACAATATGTGT